TTGGTCCAAAACAAATTTTGTTCTACTCCACTTAAACTGCAACTTTTATTTAAGGTGCAACTCCATGCAAGCAATGTAAGCGATTGGTCAACATAGGTCAAAGTAGCATCACGGTAAAGCTTAAATCCGAGTTTTAGACCGATTGAGGTATTTTCTTTATCTCTGCTCAACACGAACCCTTCATGACTTTTGTTGTAGAGTTCGATTAGAGTCACTTGGGCAAAAGTATCAAGGTTTGGTTGTTGATCCATAATTCCATTCACTTAATAAAGCAATCCAACAAAGATATAACTTATCATTTCATGTGACTTCTTGATTCCAAACTTCATGAAACTTTTCCATGGATCAATATAGATGGATATTGATGCGAGACACATGAAATAAGCACCTTCAACATTACTTAGGTAAATATCCGAAAAGGGCCAATATGTAAGCAAAGGTGTGTTGCCCGAGTTTAACTTGGAGCTCACTCTTGTAGATTTGATCTTGACACCTTCATCACCACTTAACATGCCTTGTTTGAGTTCAAACCTATTGCTTAACTGGTGACAAACACCTGGGGTGTTACAAGTTTCATGAAGTTTGGAATCAAGAAGTCACATGAAATGAGCACCTTCAACATTACTTAGGTAAATATCCGAAAAGTGCCAATATGCAAGCAAAGGTGTGTTGCCCGAGTTTAACTTGGAGCTCACTCTTGTAGATTTGATCTTGACACCTTCATCACCACTTAACATGTCATGTTTGAGTTCAAACCTATTGCTTAACTGGTGACAAACACCTGGGGTGTTACAAAGCCTTATTTAACCTGCATGTTGTTCTTTTGTTATCAACCTAAAGAGGAAACAATAATGCTACTAAATGATGTATGTTTGAGGGTAGTCATCCGAGGGCGACCAATTAAAGATCAATTCATATATGTGGTCTTTGTGTTATTGTTTTCTTTAGGTTGGTGCACACAGATATGTGAGGAAGGTATATAAGCTCTATATACAGTAAGGATGTTTTTCATTAAATTATTACAAACCTCCTAAAAATGCAGCAACATCAATATGAATAGTCTGGACCTCTATTTTTCTTTAATCTGTATGCTTCACCCCTGTTCTGTAGTCCCACTAAAATAGAGAAATTTGTCTAAAGAGGGAGAGGTCATGCAAGTGGAGTTTAAGAAACCCGCACGATAATAAGACTCGCATTCAGAGGTCCTGCAACTGCATGCACCCCAGTGAAAAATGTCAAAGAGGCATTACCTTAGTTAACCTTGTTGTGCAATTTGCCTGAAGCCTGGAACTCCAACATCGATCACCGATCACATCAGGCTACCCAAACAGAACATACACCCCCATCCTAACAACAGGCGCATTTAAGAGTTAACATGGTCGGGGATCAGGAATCATGGAAAAAAGAATAGAAACAAGACATAGGTATGTGTAGACCATTGAAAAGAAGTCAGCAACTCATCTTGTATATTATGCTGAATATTTTCTTAACGTTTAGCTCTAGGACTATAATGGTATTTCACAAGGGAAAAATGTATCGGATGGGAAATGGTAATATCCCACCTTTCACCAAGGAAATTCTCTTCCTTATATGCTCAGTTCGGGAGATGTTCAGTACATGTGCACAGGCGATAGTAATGTATATTATGCTGAATATTTTCTTAACGTTTAGGTCTACGACTATAATGGTATTTCACAAGGGAAAAATGTATGAGATGGGAAACGGTAATATCCCACCTTTCACCAAGGAAATTATGTTGCTTATATGCTCAGTTCGGGAGATGTTCTGTACATGTGCACAGGCGATAGTAAAAACTACAGCTTACATAGTTGGCTATCGCAATACAGCTATGTCAAAAGCTCCCACCAGAATTCGGCCACAGCTCTGAACAACAGTGGGAAGCAATCATGTTCAAACATATCAACTTGAAATGCACATGTCCTTGTCTGGTCATCCACTTAAAATGATCAGACCGATGGTGATGAAGTGAAGTACAAGGAAAGATTAGATACAATATGTATTGTATTGTTTGTACGTGGACAACCACCGTGTGTGCGCACATGTCCTTGTCTGGTCATGCATGATGAGTCATGAAGATGATACAATTTTTAATACTCCCTCCGGTTCTATAAAGCAAATCATTTTGGACATCGACACGGTCTTTAAGAAACAACTTTGACTGCAACTTTTTGCTATAAAATATCTATAAAATATAGTCAATATATACTTTTATGAAACTACATTTCGAGATGAATCTACTTACGTCACTTTCATATTTTTAAACTCAACCCAAAAGAAATTATTTGTAGTTAAAGTTTAAAATGTTTGACTTAAGACAACCTCAAAACGACTTGCTTTATAGAACCGGAGGGAGTACTAGTTATCTTTATCCACAGGCTAGCTGCATGTGATTTGTCGTGGGCTCTACACATAAATGAAACTTTCTAGCACAAGACATACTTGCTCAATCAAAATTAAAAAACTCATCTAAGAAAAAAACTTTTCACCCTTATAAACTATGAATATGTATAATTTTGCAAAAAAAAATATGTGATGTAAAATATGGATTAATAACATAAGATTGGCATACCAGGTTTGTTATGGATAATGCTTTCGTAAACTACTCTTTCTATTTATGATAATGTATCTTTATAGATGTACAACTCAAAGTATACACCATCATAAACCATATTGAGGAAGTACATACTGAGTGAAAAAAAACTATTTGGGGGCAAAGGAACCCAAATACAATTCGAGATCTTTTACAATATGGTTGGGAAAGTACCTCGGTACCTCAGGTTCTTTCATCTTTTTTCTAATTTCTAAGTAATTAATTGACAAATATATTATATAGGGTATTTTAGTCACGATTTAGAGCTAATACCATGAAAACACCGTTCTCGCCTTCTCCTTCCCATCTCTTCCCTTCTTCCCATCCGCTGATAACTGCTGTGGTGGACAAGCCCCTTCCCTTCTGCATGAGCTCTGGCACTGACGAAGTCCATGCGCGCTGAGGGACTAGGTGACTAGATCACTAGATGATGCGCACGAGCAGACGGATGACGAGCAGCTCCCACGACCAAGGCCCGGCACCGTGCGGACGGGTGACGATGACGAGCAGCTCATGCGGCGCGGCTCTGGCTCTACGGCTCCGCCTCGTAGCAGACAGCTCCAGCTTGTGCGGCGGGTAGCTCGCGTGAGGTAGCGAAAGCGGCGGTCGCGGTAGCTAGTGCGGGTGCGTGGCGCAGAAAACGGCGAGGCGGATCCACGGACGGGCGGCGCCGCCGGCGCACATGGAACATCTGGCAGCAAAGCGGGTGGACGAGCGCATAGGCGCTAGCATCAACCGGCGTTAGGTCATGTTGTTTTGTTTCTCCTCTTCTTTCTTAGGAGGTGTGGCATGCATGCATGGAGGATACAGGATAGCCGTCCGTTCTTGCTGCCATCGATGTGCCGTGGATGTGGGGGAGGAGCCAGCACTGCACAAATCGCTGGAGGCCGGCCGTTATCAAACCAGCATGCTTCTCAACGCCACCGGGGTACGACGGCCCAAGACGCTGGCGACCTTCAGCTCCTTCGCCACGCCGTGATGTACGTGGGTGGCGAGACTGAGATGGGAGCCAACCGGCCACGACATTGGTTCAGATTTAGCAAGACATGACATGGGAAATCTCATTTTTGCCCTTGAATGATAGTACTAAAATGACTGATTTACCCTTATCCAAAAATAAAATATATAATGAAAAATAGATCTTGCCCCACATATTTTGGTACTAGCCACACCAAATTTGGTACTATCCCCATTTATTTGGTATCTCTAGGTACTTTCAGTTGGGTACCTCATATTTTTCAACCGTCCGATCTCGTCCAATGGATAGTCCATGTTTTTCCAACCATTATAAAATTTCTCAATTTGAAAACGTAACTCCTATCTAGCTATGCATAATAAATGGACACTAGAGTTAGTTACATTTTGGAACAGGGGTGGATTAGTTCTGTAGTTACATTTTAGAACAGGGCGGAGTAGTTCTGTAGTCATAGCGTGTTTGGTTTCAAGTCTCCGTCCTCTCTTTTTTATTTAGTCGAATGGATGGAATATTTTTAATCCACCATCACGTAATCTCTCACAAGCTAATAATATAACTAATTAGTACAAGCATGAGAACTAAAGTCATTCTGCCAAATTCTAAAAAATGAGCTCGTGATGCATCACCTTCATCTTTGATTGATAAGATGGCTTTTCTATAGATGGAGCCATATTTGAAAGCCCTAAGATCATCCTGCCATCGTCACTACATACATGTATATTTAGCCAATATATACATGTCTAATGTCTTCATAATTCTTGAAAGAGTGCGTAGAATGAAATTTTGACATAGGGTTAACAGGCACCTTAGTGTATTATTGTGGACATGTTTACCTAGTATATCTACATTTGGCCTTCTTTCTAATTTGCATGCAAATAAAGCAAAAACTGCTTTGCGCGGCATTTTTTAGAAATTCAGAGCTTCGCAATGATGCAGAAGTTTGAGATAAGGCGCATTGAAAGACATGTCGAGGCAATTGGCACAAGGGTCCATCTCTCCAACTGTTGTGTGATTCACGCGCATCACGCGCATATACTCTAGTATATATTTGCAATTGGAATGGAATCTTATCACCTAGCATGCACTTGTCTGTCCATCTCCTTATACATAACGCTAATCAACATGAGACATCTGATTTACCATGTATGCGGTAAAAATAATACGGTGGCTCACATATCAGCCAAACAATCCGCATCACGTCCTGGTAGGGATGGTCCTCACCCTATTTTTTTTTTTTACAAAAGGGAGATATTAGTTTCATCGTTCCCTGCCACGTCGCGTACACAACTACTGCCTCACTATGTTGGTCTATAAATAGGAATCCATATACCAATCGTTGTTACAAGTACCATATCTCACAACAACCAGCTGTAGAGTCATATATTTGTAGCTCCATCGTCGATCACCATTAACATGGCCCCGAGCAAGGTTGCTGCTGGAATGAACGGCCAAGCGAACAGGGCCAACATCGCTAAGAGCAGCACACTGGTTCCCGCCACTGCAGCCGATACGACTAGCCACGACGAGTTTGCGCCCTCTGTATGGGGTGATTTCTTCGTCACCTACGTCCCTCCCGTCTCACAGGCATGCAACATACACTGATATATAATAAGAGCACGCACACTTATTAGATCTCCTGAAATTTAGTTGTTTACTAGTTTATGTTGCTCTTCATTCATCAATTTGTTATATGTTTGCATTATATTAATGGGCATCTCCATGCATGCATGCAGGGATCAGAGCAGTGGATGAGGGAGAGGGCAGAGCTGCTCAAGGGGCAAGTTCGTCACCTGTTCAATGCCATCTTGGAGGCCTTAGATGTAGCTGATTTGGTGACATATGTCGACACGCTTGAACGTCTTGGCTTAGAGAACCACTTCCGCGAGGTCATCGGAGTTGCATTAAATCGAATCCGAGCAGAAGAGCCCGAGTCACACGGCCTACACATTGTTGCACTCCGGTTTCGCCTACTTAGGCAGCATGGGATCTGGGTATCTTCAGGTATCTGTCTGGTTTTATTAATTTTCACTGAGATTGATAGATTACAATCACTAAACTGTATGGAAGTAGAGAGAAATTACAATCTATGTTCAATCTTACGAAAAGTTCATTTCATCCTTTTGATCTTTGTTAGAAAGTGGCCTTGTTATTGTATATTTTTTTCTTGCAATTTTTAGAGATTCACTAAATTGAAATGCATGTTAAGAGTGATGTACTCTAGTTGTCAAGTAATTCTTTCCTATAGTTTTCTACTTTTTATAGTTAATTAAGACTCTGTGTATAGTTGTCCGGGTTTGGTTCTTATTAGAGATGAATAATTAAGCTTTAAACATGGGAGGACACACCTGCGATTAGATATGTATGTACTTTAATCACATGTGTTTTGAATCAATAATGTACATGCAGATGTTTTCGACAAGTTCAGAGATCAAACGTGCCGTTTTAGCTCGAGCCTTTGCAGTGACGACCCTAGCGGCCTGTTGAGCTTGTACAATGCAGCTCACATGGCAGTTCCAGGTGAGGTGGTTCTCGATGATGCCATCACCTTTGCGAGGGGCCACCTCATGGACATCAAAGGCAAGGTCAAGTCACCAATATCAGACCAGATCTCACGTGCCCTCGACATTGCCCTCCCAAGGTTCACCAGACGGCTGGAAACCATGCATTATATTACAGAGTATGAGCATGAAGAGGCGCACAACAGCCTGTTACTTGAGCTTGCTAGGCTGAACTTTATCCTTGTGAGAGCCCTTCACCTCAGGGAGTTGAAGGACCTGTCATTGTAAGTCTTCTTACAACAAAAATCTCTATATATGGTAAACATTTTTGCCTTTGATGTTTATCAATATATGTGAAAACTAACATGTACATAAGGGCTCATAGGCACTGTGTTGTCGGTATGTTTACATGGTCGAGGTGGTTTTAGGGCATGAACCAATCAAGTTACTTTTCGCATTGCCTCCTAACCACATCAGGGTATGTCATGTAGAAATTGTTATTCGAGATAATATAATACAAGTTGGACATGAATGCTTATAAGTATAAAAGAATATGCCCCAAAAATTATAAAATAATACCATTTTAGACCTAGAGTTTTCTAAAAGGGTCTGTCAGAAAGTATTGCAGAGATTGGATTGTGGCAAAACGGTTATCTTTTCAGTAAGGTACTACCCCATTTAGTGGTCTATCTTTAGATAATTGAAAAATCCAATATTCAAGCACTAGATACAGACACTTAAAGATAGAAAGATGCTCAGTGATGACAAACATATTGATATTCAATACACTTATAATTATGTCCCTCTTACAGTTTAAACTTCAAATTTTTTAAAGAACTGCAAAAAAGATTCATGTAGAAACGGCCATTGTTGTGTGTCACATTAGAATCATATCAGCTTCCAGCAAAACAAGGAAGTATATCAAGTAGTATCTGGAATTATTTTTCTATTGAAGTACGTGGCAGCATGAGCAATCTCAAACAAATATATATAGATTTATGTGTTATCACATATACTTTAATCCTTTATTTAATGTGATTTCTCATAATGTACATGCTGCCAATCATATCATTGTCCACGACAGACAATTTAATCCACTGCAGAACTAACATGCAACATCAGATAATTAATATAGTATAATGTGTTAGCAACAGTACGTTGGTGTGCAAGTTGCGAAGCAGATGAAATTATAAATGTTATGGCAAAAATCATCGACAAAATTAATCATTAGCAGCTGTGGAATGCAGATGGTGGAGGGACCTTTATGACACTGTGAAGCTTAAATACGCTCGGGACCGGATGGTGGAGATCTACTTTTGGACCTGTGGCATGCTGCATGAGGAGGAGTACTCCCTGGGCCGGATGTTTTTTGCCAAGACATTTGGAATGGTGTCACTGATGGACGACACATTTGATGTTCATGCCACTTTAGAGGAGTGCCACAAGCTCAAAGAAGCTATGCAGAGGTTGGCTACAATGATCCATATTTTATTTAATTATCAGCTAAATTTAGCTGTAACTCTGTCTTCTTCTTGAGAGACGTTTTGTTAAACATCACTCTTAAGGTATATTTACTGTCTACATGCAGATGGGATGAAAGTGAGGTCACTATTCTACCCGAATATCTGCGCATGCTGTATATCAAAACCCTTAGCAACTTCAAAGAGTTTGAGGATATTTTGGAACCAAACAAGAAGTACCGCATGGCTTACACAAAAGAGGCAGTATGTGCACATGCATATCTATTCTACTATATATGTATATGTAACTTTTTCCCTCAAAGGTACAGTACATACATAATATATGTAGCGTCTTCTCAATTATTGTGCAGTACAAGTTGTGCTCCCAAAATTACCTCCAGGAAGCCATCTGGTCCAGCCAGAAGTACCAGCCAAGCTTCAAGGAACATGAGGAGTTGTCAATCATGACGTCAGGTCTGCCAATGCTTACGATCTTGACATTGGTGGGCTATGGTGATGAGGCAACCCAGGAGGTGTTCGAATGGGTAAGCAGTGTTCCTGAAATGGTCCGCGCTGGTTCACAGGTCACTCGCTTCCTCAACGATTTGTCTTCTTACAAGGTTTATACTCACAGCCTTGCATGATTCAGTACACGATATGCTATACATTTTCAACAAGCATATATATATATATGCATGTATACTCACCGTATATACATACAATAACAATAATACATATATATATGCAGTTGGGGAAGAACAAAAAGGATATGCCTGGCTCTGTGGAGACCTACATGGTAGAGAACGGCATAACCGGGGAAGAGGCTGCGGCGGCAATCGCAGCACTTCTAGAGAATAGGTGGAGAATATTAAACCAAACAGGCATGGATATAGATCACACACTATTGCCAGCGGCGCAGGTGGTGGTCAACATGGCGAGGGCAAATGAGATCATTTACCTCCACGGAAGGGACGCCTACACCTACGGTGCTGACCTTAAGGACCTTGTCACCACACTATTCCTCAAGGAAGTGCCTCTCTAGATAATCACACGACCAAATGGCTAGGACAATTGTCCTGTTGTGTTAAGCTTCATGTTCCATTATGCATGCTTGTGATAAATGACTCATCTATGGATGGTAATATAATAGTCTAGATGGATATAATTAACTTACAGTGCCCAATGTATCCATGCCAGCATACATATCTTCATCTTAATATTACTAATTCCATGCCTCCAACAGAACTTCCACCTTAGTGCCCACAAGATGGGCAAGGAAAAAGGATAACATATTGCCTTTAATTTGGGAGACTCTAATCATCACCACAATAATAAACATTGGGACCCACTCGTCATTCGGTCATATCCATCATCTTTCCAATCTACTAAACATGGGGGCGTAGGAGAGGAGGGGAGGAGCATTGAGCACAAGGAGGGGAGTAGTGGCGGGGTCAATTGCTTCATCGAGAGGAGAGGAGCGGGCATTGTCAAGCTAGAGACAGCATGGGCGCCAGGGAGAGGAGCGGTCGCCGGTGAGCCATGCACAGGACCCGATGCTAGGGAGAGCAGCCGCGTGCCAGACCAAGGGGCTTCACATGGAGCCACGCCGAGCCAAAGGGCTTTGACGTGGACCAGCACCAGTAGCGGCAGCGGCATGAGAGAGTCGAGACAATAAAAAAGTCATGGGAGTGGGTTCGTGCCAAGAAACATTTTCCAGAGGAAAAGTAGAGAGCTTTTATCAGCTTGAAGAAGCAACATGTTTGGAGGAGCTTATGGCTTTTCAAGCTTTCTAGGAAAGCAAAACTCCCCCAAATAGGACCTATATTTAATCAGTTTGATTTGGAACTTCTTAGACATTTAGAAGAAAATGCCTACCATCCCTTATCAACACTACTGGAAACGCGTGCTTTGCCGAGGGCCTGAGGATTTGCCGAGGGCCAAATCTCAGGCACTCGGCAAAGACACTCTTTGCCGAGGGCCAGACACAAGAGCCCTCGGCAAAGAACGGCCCTCGGCAAAGAGGCCTTTGCCGAGGGTACGGCCCTCGGCAAAGACAGGCCCTCGGCAAATCAAATCTTTGCCAAGGGCCGAGGCCCTCGGCAAAGATGTCCTCGGCAAATTAGGCCCGTTGGGTCACGGCGGCCATTTCCCGTCAAGCTTTGCCGAGGGCCACCCGTTAGGCCCTCGGCAAAAGTTTTTTTTCCTGTGCAACCAGGTTATTCGGCAAATTTTTTTTAAGTCTTTGCCGAGGGCCCTAGACCAGGCCCTCGGCAAAGATTTTTTTTAAACCAGTTTTTCGGCCAAAATTTTTTTATTTATAAATCGCCTTTGCCGAGGGCTCGAGGCTAGGCCCTCGGCAAAGAAGCCCTTTGCCGAGGGCCAGAGGCTAGGCCCTCGGCAAAGAAGCCCTTTGCCGAGGGCCAGGATAGGCCCCCGGCAAAGATTTTTTATTTTTTTTTAAAATTCTTTGCCGAGGCCTAGATCCACGGCCCCTCGGCAAAGATTTTTTATTTTTTTTAAAAAAATTCTTTGCCGAGGGCCATGGAGCAGGCCCTCGGCAATTTTTTTTTTTTTTTAGCCTAGTTTTTTTGTGGTGCTACAATACATTGTTTTGAACTCAATTTTAAAATTTAGGCCAATTTTGATTTTGTTTTGTATATTTCCTTAATTTATTTCGATTCTTTGATTTTTTTCGAATATGTCAAATTTGAACTGCAGGTGCATGGAATATTGCAATGTAGTGTTTCGAAAAATGTTATTCATATTAATTGGTGCATGTTGAGTCCCTATCCACGACCCCGCATCAAATTTTCACGCATCTTGTTCGCGTAACATGGCGATCGACTTGCCGGAAAAGTGTTTTAAAATTATATAAAATCCATACGAAGTCCGAAAATCACGAAACTTGGCGAGATGTCATGTTATCGCATGTGTAGGCTATGGTAAAAAATTGAGAAGGCTTCGAGCGAGTTGCGACGTCGAATGCCTGAAACCCAGACAAGTGCTGGCAGAGTTGAGCTTTTTCTTCCGCCAGCTTTGTGCCAAGGAGATATCTCGGACCGTCGCTCAGGACTTAGAAAAAGCAGCACCTGTGTTGCTCTGTAAGCTGGAGAAGATCTTTCCACCCGGCTTCTTCTTGCCGATGCAACATCTGATTGTGCACCTCCCGTCCGAGGCACGTTTGGGGGGGGGGGCGTGCAGGCCCGTTGGTGCTATCCAATCGAGAGATGTCTAAAGACTCTTCGCAAAAAAATGTACAAATAAAGCCAGAATTGAGGCTTCAAATGTAGAGGCATGCCTTCAGGAGGAGGTGGCAAACTTCACAACGCTATACTACAAGCCGAACCTTCCTAGCAATCATAATCCACCCTTTCGTTACAATACTGGCGAAAATGAATCGACCCTGAGCCTTTTCCAAGGCCAACTCGGCAGCGCAAGTGGATCAACCCCAAAGCTATTGGGAAATGAAGAGTGGCGCAGTATCATGCTATATGTGTTGAATAACCTTACCGAGGTGCAGCCGTTCATCAAGTAAGTTCTCAACGAACTTATTTCAATATGCCGTCACCATTCTGCATCCAACCCCATTGATTCTTGTTCGGACAGGGAATTTGTTTGTGAATTCTGGCATCAATCAAGGGATCCTACCTCGCATGAACAAGACACCCTTGTTTCGCGGAGTGCGAGAGCGGGGAGGCCTGATTTCATTTCTTGGTTCAAACAAAAGGTAATGTACAATTTAGCTCGTACGTTCGATCGTCCAAGGTGATCGTACGTTTGATTAATATAACGATCTTTCATGATTCACCTTGCAGGCCCAGACCGATTCGTCCATGAGCGACGAGTTGAAACAGGTTGCAAACGGCTATGATGTTAGGGTGAAGTCATTTACCGGCTATGACGTGAATGGATATCGCTTCCACAAAACAAGTTACGAGCAGATTCGGCCCAAATGAAAAACCACAAATAGCGGAGTTTGTACGCCCGGCACTAATGGCCTCGACTATCATGGTAGAGTTGAAGAAATCTATGAACTCTCATTTCATGGAGACGAACCTCTTACACCTATCATGTTCAAATGCCATTGGTTTAATCCTCGATCAACGAGACGAACCGCTCATCTTGGGCTAGTGGAGATTCGAGAAGATTTCGTCTATCCTGGAAAAGATGTCTACATTGTGGCTCAACAGGCCGTGCAGGTGTATTATACTCGATACGCCAACCAAGACAAAGAGGATCTTAAGGGTTGGGCTATTGTGCACCAGGTATCTCCACATGGTAAACTACCTGCCCCAAACGATGATGATTACAACTTCAACGCAAACACATATGATGGTCAGTTCTATCAAGAAGATGGGCTACCAAGCACGTTCGAGATAGTCTTACCCAAAGCAATCAAAATGGAAGTAGACAACGAAACAGTTGATGACGAGGTCGATGGAGATGTGGTGGTAAATGCCAAGGATATAGCAATGCTTGAACGATTACTTCTAGGCAATGACGACGATGACAACATAGAACCTTCGGATAGTGTTGCCCATTTGGACAATTTTGACAGTGATGATGAGACCTATAATCCCAATCATGAAGATTATTCCTAATACATGTAATACTATGGTTTTTTAATTTGTGTTTTGTTTATATATTTTGAATCTATTTCTAATATATGTATTAATTAGTCTTGTTCATTCTTTGTGATTGCGGTGATTGGACAAAGATGGCGGCAGTGACGTCCACGCCATGACACGCCCTCGGTTTACGGGAGAGCCCCCTCTCCTTGAGGTGAGGGTCGTCGTCGTGCAGGGTAGCGTCCGTAGGAGGTGATGAGAGGGGACCAGGGGCAGCCGCCCGCAGAGGCAGCGGGTCTCCTCCTCCGACACGTGACAAGGTCTTGGAGGAGGAGCACGTGACGGCCATAGCCTCGTCCTCGTCGGAGGATGAGAGGGGTCGCCAGAGCCAGGCGAGGGAGACGAGGCGCTCGAGGCGAGGGAGGCGAGGCGCCGAGGGCAAGGGAGGCGAGGCGCTTGAGGCGAGGGAGAGGGTACCGCTACCGGACTCTCTGAGCGAGGTCCCGCGAGCCTCCCTCCGGTTCCGCTTCCTCACAACCGCTTTCGATGATTCGACCTATGGCAAAGAGGTAAGTAACTATGGATGTTATCACAACTACTTCATAAGATATGTTGGAAATCTTAAGAGAAACTGATAAATTTTCTTAATCACTTGTGCGAGGGCTGGTTGGTTTTGTCGGGTACTCCAGCCACGCACCCATGAGCATCCTTGGTGTTTTGTGCAGAAATGGTACCCGGCATTGTGCAACTATCCGAAGAGCCGGTGGTGCGGAGCCGGCCTCCAAGCTGGGACAGTACGCGCTAGTCACGGATGACACTTACCGCAACAAGCGGGGCGCGAGTATTGGCGAGTTTTGGGTAAGTCTCTCTCGCACAACATTGCTTAATACATCGCATTCATTGGTTAAATCTTTTATCGAAATAATGAATGGATACATCGGTTTTGTATGCGAGAAATATTTCAAGGTTGAAGATGGACTTGAGGCCCAGGCGGATCGGTAATTTTGCCGCGGCTTGTAGGAAATGCGTCGCCACCGAGATGCATCACCATGGGCGCGCGTCCAGCCCACATAGACTACTACAGGTCGGTGCCGGGGTCCCTCCCCAAGCCTCAAGCAAGACGGATTACGCTGACCCGGGACCAGTATCTTGAGGTAGGCGAATAATATTCATAATGATTTGTTTTGATATTAAGTAGGTTCAATTTCATCTTCTTATATGTCAAATACTCGATGACTTGTAGGTGATTCCCTGGTGGTGCCGATCGTATCCCGAGTGCTGGGCCATGATCGTGGACAAGTGGTTATCACAGGACTTTGTTGACACGCACGAGGAGGCAGGAGAACAGTGGTCGATGAGGCAAGGTCCAACTCGCCATCAAGGCAGTCGTAGCCTCCCTAGATACAAACAAGCATATGTAAGTAATTTCTTTCATTTATTTTGACGCTCAATTCTGCTTGATTTCTCACCATCT